CGCGGCGCGGGGCGAGCTGCCCCGGGTGATCGGTGGCTGTCATTTTGTCAGGTGCTGCGTTGGGATCCTCGCTCCCATTTTGTGGAGCTGCCCTTGGTACGAGGAATTCGTTAAAGGTTAGCAGAAACACAGCCGTCAGTGCTTGCTACGCCATGGCAATTCATTTCAATAACAGTCATGTGCTTATGATCCGCCATCAGCATAAAGCACCTGAACAGCAATGAATCAGCTCAGTCCGTAAATCAAGGGAGCAAAAGCAAATGTTGGCCACCCCGGAGCCTCCAAGAAACATTATTTTCCAATCTATTCCAGAGAACAGCCTTTGTATTTAAAATATTCCATGAATGTAAACACACTGAAAAATATTGATGAAAGTTAATACGATTCTATAAATCAAATTATACATGTATTCTTTGATTTCTACTTTGAAGTAATTTTTAAAGTATTTAAAGTATTACAAATACAAATGCAGTTAGACTTTATTACTGCTAAGAGCAAACACTCTGAGGAACTTCATTAGCAGCAATATTTGATATTCATTAACCTTCAGTTTATTTGATAGCGAAGAGGATATGTTCCTGAAATAACACATTTACTTTTCCTCATAAATCAAGTGAACATGCACCAGCCACAACTCTGCCGGGGTCCATTGCAGGTTTCACTGCTCCCCTGCTCTTTTGCCCCGCTACAAACGACCCCACGCTGGAAGCGAAGGAGGCCGAGGAGCCGACGCTGTCGGAGCAGTGCCGGTGCCTGCGCCGGGCAGGGCGCGTTGGGGGAACCCAGCTGCGCCCGGGCAGTGCTCGCGCTGCTTGAGCCAGGGGCTGGACAGCACAGGCGTGATTTCTCTCACGTTTGAGACGGAGCTCATCAGAGCTGTGCCGGCAGGGCAGGGTGGGGGAAGGCTCCTCTGCCGTGCGCTCAGCCCCATGCTGCTCCAAGTGACGGCAGCGTAAGTCACGTTCATTTTTCGAAGGTAATCAATGAACTGGACCCCCCGGCCTCGCAGGGCAATCCCCGGGGGAAGCCAGGCCCTCGCGCCCT